AATGTACTCAACTCTCCAATAAAAAGACACAGACTAACAGAATGGATGTATAAACAAGGCCCAACAATCTGTTGCATACAAGAAACACACCTAAGTTACAAAGATAGACATTACCCAAGAGTAAAGGGCTGGAAGATGGTTTTCCAAGCAAATGGACCCAGGAAGCAAGCTGAGTGGCCATTCTAATATCTAATAAAATAGATTTACAACTAAAATTAACCAAAAGAGATGGGGAAGGACACTTTATACTCATCAAAGGAAACTTCTACCAAGAAGACATCTCAATTACGAAGATCTATGCCCCAAATACAAGGGCACACACATTTGTAAAAGAAACATTAAAAACATTAATTAACACATAAATCCCCACACATTAATAGTGGGAGACTTCAACATCCCATTCTCAACAAAGGACAGGTCAACAAAACAGAAATTAAACAAAGAAACAATGACTCTAACAGAGGTCATGAATCAAATTGACCTAACAGACATCTACAGAACCTTTCACCCAAACACAAAAGAATTTACCTTCTCTCAGCACCACATGGAGCCTTCTCCAAAATAAACCATATAGTTGGTTACAAAGCAAGCCTCAACAGATACAAAGATTGAAATAATCCCTTGTATCCTATCTGACCACCATGGACTTAAGCTGGACCTCAACAGCAACAGAAATAGCAAAAAGCCTACATGTACATGGAAACTGAACAATTCCCTACTCAATGACAGCTGGGTCAGGGAAGAAATAAAGAAAAAAATTAAAGACTTCCTAAAATTCAATGAAAATTAAAGCACAACATACCCAAACTTATGAGACACAATGAAAGCAGTGCTAAGAGTTCACAGAACTAAGTGCCTTCAAGAAGATTTTCAAAACATCTCATACAAGCAACTAAATGGCTCCCCTGAAAGCCTTAGAAAAAAAAAGGGCAGACACACCCAAGAGGATTAGACGGCTGGAAACAATCAAACTCAGGGCGGAAAACAATAAATTACAAAGAAATAAAACAATTAAAGAATCAATGAAACCAAAAGCTGGTTCTTCGAGAAAAATCAACAAACACTTAGCCAAACAAACTAAAAGGAAGAGAGACACTATCCAAATCAACAAAACCAGATATGAAAAGGGAGAATATAACAACAGACACTGAGAAAGTCCAAACAATCATTAGGTCTTACTTCAAAAGCCTATATGCCACAAAATTTGAAATCTAAATGAAATGGACAATTTTCCGTATCAATTCCACTTACCAAAGCTGAACCGAGACCAGGTAAATCAATTAAATAGTCCTATATCTGCAGAGGAAATAGAAGCTGTCATCAAAAGCCTCACATTCAAAAGAGGCCAAGGTGGTTTCAGTATAGAATTCTACCAGACCTTCAAAGTAGAACTAACAGCAATACTCTTCAAACTCTTCCACAAAATAGAAACAGAAGGAACACTACCAAACTCATTCTATGAAGCCACAGTCACCTTGGCACCTAAACCTCACAAAGACCAAACAAAGAAAGAGAATTTCAGGCCAATCTCCCTTATGAACATTGATACAAAAATACTCAACAAAATACTCACTAACCGAATTCAAGAACACAGCAAAGATATCATCCACTATGACCAAGTAGGCTTTTTGCCAGCTATGAAAGGATGGTTCAATATAGGGAAATCCATCAATATGATCCAACATATAAACAAAATGAAAGAAAAAAAAACACATGATAATCTCCTTAGATGCTGAAAAAGCATTTGACAAAATCCAACACCCATTTATGTTTAAAGTTCTAGAGAGATTAGGAAAACAAGGCACTTACCTAAACATAGTAAAGGCAATATACAGCAAGCCTATAGTCAACATCAAACCAAACATAGAGAAACTTAAATCAATCCCACAGAAAGCAGGGACAAGGCAAGGCTGCCCACTCTCTCCATATCTCTTCAACATAGTTCTTGAAATCCTGGCTATAGCAGTAAGACAATTAAAGCAGATTCAGGTTGGAGAGGAAGAAGTCAAAGTATCACTATTTGCAAATGATATGATAGTATACCAAAGACAAAAAGTATGAAAAGAAATTAAGGAAATAACTCTCTTCAAAATAGCCACAAAGGACATAAAGTACCTTGTTGTAACTTTAACCAAGCAAGTCAAGGACTTGCATGAAAAAAACTTCAAATCTCTGAAGAAAGAATTCAAAGAAGATATCAGAAGATGGAAAGATCTCCCATGCTCAACGCTTGGCAGGATTAACATAGTAAAAATGGCCATCTTACCAAAAGAAATCTACAGATTCAATGCAATTCCCATCAAATTACCAACACAATTCTTTACAGACATTGAAGAAAAACTCTCAAGTTTATATGGAATTACAAGAAACCCAGAAACACTGACACAAACCTCTATAATAAAATATCTTCCGGAGGGGTCTCCATCTCTGATCTTAAACTGTTATAGAGCAACAGTAATAAAAACTGCATGGTAATGGCATAGAAACAGAATGGTGGATCAATGGAATCAAATGAAAGACCCAGACATAAAACCACACACTTATGGACACCTGATCTTTGACAAAGATTACAAAACCGTACAATGGAAAAAAGATAGCATCTTCAACAAATGGTGCTGGTCTAACTGGATATCTACATGTAGGAAAATGCAAACAGATTCATACTTATCACCCTGCACAAAACTAAAGTCCAAGTGGATCAAAGACCTCAACAAAAAACCAGACATATTAAACCTGTTAGAAGAAAAAGTGGGGAGAGTGTTGAGCTCATTGGCACAAAATATATAATAAATAAAAAGGAAAAATTAAAATTAAACAATTAAAAAAAAAAGATGTCCACTGATTACTCCAAGGAACTCATTATCATGGTGATTCAGCCACCCTGTATACTAGGAGTATGCTCAGCACTGGCAGGAGAGGCTTTAGCAGGATGTTCCTCATTACCACCTTAGTAGTATGCCTTTCTTTAAAGCAAAATTAAAATACAAAACAAAATCTATATCCAATCTAGAACTGTCTTTAATAATTTTACTCTAGGCCCCGGTGGATTTCTAAACTTAGAAGACCATTCACCTGAAGGTCAATGTCAATCAACACAGAAGCTGTTCCTGTGTGTCTCACTGGAGTCAGAGGCTCCATCAAAATAGGATGTGTGTCCAACTCAGACTAGTTGATGAACAGCATATTTACTTTCAATTTATGTTCTGTTGCTTTGAGGGCTATTCCAAAGCACCAGAAAAATAGCATTCAAAAATTATGAGAAATGCTCAGTCAATGAGATTTCTATAGCCACTGGAAAAAACAAAAACAAAGCAAACTGACTTCATTTCAGAGAGTGTCCCTGTTCCCCTTATTAGGGAACTGAACTTGGGTTCTCTGGAATAGCAGCAAGAACAGTCTTAATGCTGAGCCCTCTCTAAAGCCCCCTCAAAATCTGTATTACTCACTAGTATGCTACACGGTTACTGTTCTCTAACAAAACATATTATGTCAATAGTTTTACATAACATAAACTGATTAAAAGTGTACTTTTACAAATTTACTTTCTATAATATGAGAAATCAAAAGTAAATGCAACAATTTCAGGGTAGGTCCTGATCAGACCTTGGTAGACACACCATATATATATTTTTTAATCTATTCATTAGTCCAAGAACATTTTCAGTAAGAATTCTCATATAAATGAGACCCTTTGCTATACATACATAATATATACCCTTTGCTATATATATAATATACCACATTGTGATGGTTATTTTTTTTTTTGAATTTTATTTTTTTCTTATCAGTTACATTTTATTAACTCTGTATCCCAGCCGTGTCCCGATCCCTCATTCCCTCCCAGTCCCTCCCTCCCTCCCTCATCTCCACCATGCCCCTTGCCAAGTCCACTGATAGGGGGGACCTCCTACCCATTCATCTGATCCTGTTTTATCAGGTATCTTCAGGACTGGCTGCAAAGCTCTCCTCTGTGGCCTAACAGGACTGCTCCTCCCTTGGGGGGTGGGGAGGCCAAAGAGCCAGTCATTGAGTTCCTGTTAGAAATAGTCCTTGTTCCCCTCACTATGGGAAGCCAATTGGTTACTGAGCTACCACAGGCAACATCTGAGCAGAGGTTCTAGGTTACATTCATACATGGTCCTTGGTTGCATGTCAGTCTCAGAAAAGACCCTGTGCCCAGATATATTTGGTCCTTGTGGAGCTCCCATCCTTTCCTCATCAGACTAAATCCCCTTCTTTCTTATGATTCCCTGTACTCTGCCAAAGGTTTGGTCATGAGTCTTTGCTTTGAAAACACTGCTAGTTAGAGTCTTTCAAATGCGCTCAGTAGACTCCTGTCATATGTTCAATGCGCATCCCATCTGTCTTTCTAAACGAGGATTGATAATCTTACCCCATGTCTGCTCTCTTGATTAGTTGTCAACTTGACCACATCTGAAACTAACTAAAACCCAAGCAGCTGGGTACACCTGTGAGAAATTTTTCTTAATTAAATAATTTGAAATTCAAAGACCAAACTTTAATCTGGATCTTTTAAAGTAGGAAGATATATATTTAATCTGGGCTAGCAGCTTACATAAATAATACAGAAGAAAGAAACTTTTGCTATTTGCTGGCTTGCCCTCACTGTTGCTGGCAAGATCATTTCTTCAGAAACATTACAGTCTACTTCTTCAGGGTTCCAGCATATACTGAAGAGCAGATGAGCCATCCACACCCACAAGTACTGGATACTTGGACTTTCTGTTGGTAGACAGCCATTGCTTGACTAGCTGGACCACAGCCTGTAAGCCACTCTAATAAATCCCATATTTATTCAGTTAACTCCATTCCTCTAGAGAATTGTGACTGATACACGCTCCAAATTTTGATATAAGAAAAAGATATGCAAAACAGCCTTTGTATGCAGTGAACACCACCTAGAAATTCTTAAGCAGGCTTCCTTTCTTGGGAACTGCCTGTTATGCATCCCCTTTCCCGTGCCTACGTTTGCTACTCACCATGCTCCAGGTGAATCTGCATGCCCCACTCTGTGCCCTTGATGGTTCCTGGCACCATCTCTACTGAGAAGGGAGTAGGCCCTCTGCACTACTACTCGGACCCCAATTTCAGACCACAGGCCAGCTCTTTGGCTTTCCACAATGTCCAGAAGAGACTCCCTCAGGGGAGCACCAACCACAAGATGTTGCTCTGTCTTGTCATGCCCGTGGGTCAAGCTTGTGCTAGTGGCAGCCAGGCTACCACATATCATCTGTCCAAGACATGCAAAAGGAACAATTTTAGTCTGGCTAATAGTGTCATGCTGTTAGAAAATAGTGACATTAGTGCACCAAAGAGACAGACAAACGTGCAGCACTGGTATCTAGCCCACTGAAAAGCAGAAGTGGGTAAGGGCAACACAGAAGACGTTCCCCTTCTAACAGCACCGAGGAGACAGCCCCACTATTAATTACCTCTTGGGGATAGTTTCCTTTTTTGGTTTGTCCAGAAAGAATGAAATCAGTTTAATTAAAATGAGTCATTTTATTAGGTGTTGAATATAATCTGCTAATTTATACACTTTGCATACTCACATATTCTCCCAACAACTACAGAATAATATCAATGATCATAAGTCAATGATACATATGAAATACTTTAAGACTCTTAATTTCCATAATAATACTTACCCTCACAATGATCCTAATTATTCTCAGAGATAAAACTGAGGCACAGAGAAATTGCCTAATGTGACCTATCATAAAGGTGCTGGGGCAGGATGTGAAACAATGCACATGGTTCCAAAATCCTATTTTATTTTTCTTTAGTGTCAGTTGTACTCTGTATGCATACATGTTTGCAGGCACATATGGAGGACAGAAGAGGGCATCAGATCCCCTGAAGCTGGAATTACAGTCAGCTATCAGCCACTTATGCAGGTACTGAAAACTGAACTTGGGTTCTCTGGAATAGCAGCAAGAACAGTCTTAATGCTGAGCCCTCTCTAAAGCCCCCTCAAAATCTGTATTACTCACTAGTATGCTACACGGTTACTGTTCTCTAACAAAACATATTATGTCAATAGTTTTACATAACATAAACTGATTAAAAGTGTACTTTTACAAATTTATTTTTTAATTTAATAACACTCCCATCCCCATGTGTGTGCTTGGACATACTACATGGCAAGTGTGTACATGTCATAGGTCAGCTTTGGTGTCCTCCTCAAATTATCACTTCCAGATATTTCTTTTGATAGTCAAAGGAATATGTTTATTATATAGTTCAAAGGAAAGTGAAAGTACCAGAAACAGTGTACCAGAAACAAATTCCCATAGCTGAGAGTCCTGCCTACATACCCTGGCCACTATCAGTGAATTACAGTGAAATCCTAAGTTCATTTTGGAATAGCTCAGAACCCCCACCAAATTCCACTAAATCAAACTCTATCACATAACTTCAATATAACTATAATGTTCTAGCTCAAGGCTAGAATATTTCTGTTTCTAAGGAAAACAGAGAACTTAGCAAATAAAGGCTTAAAACTCTTAGTTTCAAAGTGAAAATAGAGAAAATACTTTCTGAGTCCTGATGTGCTAATTATAACCCCATGGAACTGGAAGTACTCTCATGTTTTAATAAATTGAACTAAAGATTAAAACTTCATAATGGAAGGATGGAAAACTGTAATGAGACCATGCTACATCAATTTTCAAACCTCTAGGCACAATGATGATAACAACAGGCTTTAAAATATATAGCTGGGGACAGAAGATGAATATACTCACTTATTCATAAGTCCTTTAAAATACAGATAACAGTATTATTAAAGTGTAAAACTCACAAATCAATAAAAATTTACCTGACTGCTGGAAGAACTGTTTGGTATGTCCTTAATTCTAAACATCTGCGCCAAAGTTATATATCTTCTTGGAAGAGCTGTGTCCTGACTGTATACTATTTCATGAACTGTTTCATTTGCAATAGCTTTCTGACAAAAATAAGTATTCAGAATAACAGAGTAACTTCCATTTGGAATGAAAAGTTTTTGCCTAGGAAAAAAGAAAGATTTGTCAGTTTATTTGCAAGTCAGATTTTCCTTATAATTTAAGCAAGGAATGCTGTTAAAATCAAGACAGTGCACTCCTAACAATGAATGGCTAACACCAGACCAGGGCATGGCATGACAGCTCTCCAAGAAATTGAATAAATAAGACCACATCATTCTTGAAAGAAAGCCATCCCTAGCAATGAACAGCTAGGACCATGCCTTTCAGCAGAATCCACAGCCCATAACAACTAAGTATGACTCAATGATAGAACTTTACTTTCTGACTGAAGCTCTATTGTTAGTATTGTTAGTAACGGAGGGTAAAATTAAGTCCCTAGGCATGGGCCCTCTTGGGGAGACCAATGTCCTCCTCTCAGGAAGAAATACAGATTTGAAAAAATGAGCAAAGACTACATGCACTCAAGCAATGAATTGGATATTATTTACAAATACAATCTTTATGTAGCTAAGAAGCTCTCATTGTTCAAAAAAATATAATATTTAAGGATGAAGGAACTTAGACCCTTGATACCAACTGGTCAAAATCATCAACACTATTAGTGCAAAAACAGAAAAACAGCTGAAGAGGTTCTTCTCAGTGCTCTAATGTGATAAAACCTTTAACGTACATTCTTTAAATCAAGTTGTGCTGTTAATAAGAAAAACTGAAAAGCTCAGGTTCTGGAAGGAAGAATATGACACCTCATTAAACTATACTGATAAGTGGAGAGAAGGAAGAATATCAACCAGGGAGGAAGGAAGGAAGAAAAGAGGAAGAGAGGGAGATACACACACACACACACACACACACACACACAGAGAGAGAGAGAGAGAGAGAGAGAGAGAGAGAGAGACAGACAGACAGACAGACAGACAGGAACAGGAACAGGAACAGGAACAGGAACAGACCTGAGGAATAATACAACAGTAAGAGCAGCAAGTACTCTTAACCACAGAGTCATCTCTCCAGGTCCTCATTTCTGGACTCTTACACAATTTAGGACCCCTATCTAAGGAATGGTGTTATTCACAGTGGCCTGGGATTTTCCACATCCATTAACTATAATTTCACACACACACACGCAAAGCCCAAGCCAATGTTGACAATTCCTCACTGAGAGTCTTCTCAGATGACTCTAGGTTGTGTCAAGTTGACAAATCACATTATCACTGGTCCCAACAAGAGCCAACTGGCCACCTTAGGAAGCTAGAAAATCTTATAATAACTCTTTATTTCATTTTCTTTCTTCAGAGACCTGAAGTTCTTGTCATACAGGTTTTTCACTTGCTTGCTTAGAATTATACCAAGATACTTTATATTATTTGTGGCTATATGTAGTGAAGGGTATAGTTTCCCTAATTTCTTTCTCAGACCCTTTGTCATTTGTGTACAGGGGGCTAATAATTTTTTTTAATTAATCTTGTATCCAGCCACTTTGCTGAAGATGTTTATCAGCTGTAGTTCTCTGGTGGAATTTTTGGGGTCACTTTTATACTATCATAACATCTGCAAATAGTGATACTTTGACTTCTTTCCCAATTTGTATCCCCGTGATCTCCTTTAGTTTTCAAGTACTATATTGAAGAGATACAGAGAAAGTGGGCAGCCTTATATTGTTCCTGATTTTGAAAATATCAGAAGATGGAAAGATGTCCCTTGCTTATGGATTAGTAGGATTACCATTGTAAAAATGGCCATCTTACCAAACGCAATCTACAGGTTCAATGTAATTCCCAGCAAAATACCAACATAGTTTGTTACAGACCTTGAAAGAAAATTCTAAACTTCACATGGAAAAACAAAAAACCCAGAATAGTTTAAACAATCCTATACAATAAAAGAACTGGAGGTATCTCCATCCCTGGTTTCAAACTATACTACACAGAAATAGTAATAAAAACTGCATGGTACTGCCATAGAAACAGACTGGTGGATGAATGGAATTGAATTAATGACCCAGAAATAAACCCACACACCCATGATAACTTGATTTGTGACAAAGGAGCCAAAAGGACAACATCTTCAACAAATGGTGCTGTCTACATGTAGAAAAATATATAGTCCTGAGTGAGGTATCCCAAAAAGCAGAAAGGCACACATGGTTATATACTCACTTATATAGACCTATAAGATAGGATAAACATATTAAAATATATACACCTAAAGAAGATAAACAAGAAAGGGGTCCAGGGGTAAGATGATCAATCCTCATCTAGAAAGACAAAGGGGATGGACATTAGAAATAGGAGAAAACAAATAACAGGACAGTAGCCTACCACAGAAGGCACCTGAAAGACTCTATCTAGCAGTGTATCAAAGCAGAAGCTGAGACCCATAACCAAGCCTTTGGCAGAGTGCAGGGAATCATATGAAGGAAGAAGGAATTAGTATATCCTAGAGGGGACAGGGAACCCCACAAAGTCCAAATATATCTGAGCACAGGGGTCTTCTATGAGACTGTTTCTCCAACCAAGGACCATGCATGGATATAACCTACAACCCCTGCTCAGACATAGCCCATGGTAGCTCAGTATCCAAGTGTATTCCCTAGTAAGGCGGACAGAAATTGTTTCTGACATGAACTCATGAGCTTCCCCTCCCCCCTGAGAGAGGAGCAGCCTTGCTAGGCCACAGATAAGGACATTGCAACCATCCTGAAGATACCTGATAAGGTAGGGCCAGATGGAAGGAGAGGAGGACACCCCCTCTCAGTGGACTCGGAAGGGGGCAGGAAGGAGATAAGGGAGGGAGGGGAGGAGTGGGAGGGAAAGAGGGAGAAGGCTACAGCTGGGATACAAGTGAATGTATAAAATTATTTGAAGTTTAAAAAAATTAAAAAAATTAAAAAAAAGAAAAGACAGCAAGCAAAGCAAAAAAAAAAAAAGAGAGAGAGAGAGAAAAAATAGATCCATATTTATCTTACTGCACAAAACTCAAATCTAAGTGGATCAAAGACCTCAATATAACATTGGATACACTAAATCTATTAGAAGAGAAAGTGGGGAAGAGCTTTGAACTCACTGACATAGGAGACAGCTTCCTGAAAACCAAAAGCTCAGGCTCTAAGATCAACAGTTAATAAACAGGACCTCTTAAAACTGAAAAGCTTCTGTATGGCAAAGGGTGCATTCAATAGAATGAAACAACAGTCTACAGATTTGGAAAAGATCTTCAACCCTCTATCTGACAAAAGCTAATAGCCAAAATATATAATGAACTCAAGAAATCAAACACCAATAAACAAAATAACCCACTTGAAAAAGGGGGCCCGGAACTGAACAGAGCGTTCACAACAGACAATTCTCAAATGGCCAAGAAATACTCAACTTCCTTAGTCATCAGGAAAATGCAAATCCAAATGACTCCAAGATTCCATCTCACACCAGTCAGAATGGCTAAGATCAAAATCTCAAGTGATAGTACATACTGACAAGGGTGTGGAGAAAGGGGAACACTCCTCCATTGCTGGCAGGAGTGTAAACTTGAACAACCACTTTGGAAATCAGTCTGGCACTTTCTCAGAAAATTGGGAATAGCTTTACCTCAAGACCCAGCTATAGCTCTCCTGGGCATATACAAAAGATGCTCCACCATATAACAAGGACACTTGCTCAACTATGTTCATAGCAGCTTTATTCATAATAGCCAGAATCTGGAAACAACCTAGATGTCCCTCAACCAAAGAATGGATAAAGAATCCGTGACATATTTACACAATGGAATATTACTCAGCTATTAAAAACAAAGAAATTATCAAGTTTGCAGGCAAATGGATGGAACTAGCAAAGATCATTCTGTTGTGAGATAACCCAACCCAGAAAGCCACACATAGTATGTACTCACTTATTTAGCCATATAATACATATAGGATAAGCATACTGTAAGGCACAGACTCAAAGAAGATAATTAATATAGGGGATGCAAGGGAGAATGCACAAATCTCACTTGGAAGGGGAGACAGACTAGACAGAGGTAGTGGCTGAAGAGACGGAACAAGGTAGGAAAGGGGGCACAGAGAGTTAAGAGGGTAGTGAACAGACCTGGAGAGATCAAGTAGGAGAAGACAAAACAGAAACAGAGGGTGGGGGCATCTCTGTGACAAGCTGGAGGCCTAAGTCGGGGCAGGCTCCTGGGAGGATATAAGGGGAATTCAAGCAGAGACTTCAGTTACAGAGACCATACAGACTGAAGAAGACTTTTTCTAACAAGACTAGTCTTCTAGTAAAGGGCAGGGAATACCAACCCACTCACAAAACCTTCACCCAACATTTACCCTGCCTATGAGATGCTTAAGGATAAAGATAGAGCAGAAAAAGAGGAGATGGAGGGAATGCCTAACCCAACCAAAGACCTACCCTATCAGAGACTGCCAACCTCTGAGACTATGAACAATGATCTGCTAAACTTGTAGACAGGAGCCTGTTAGAGCTGTCCTTTGAGAGGCACTACCCAGCAGCGCCTCAAACAGAAGCTGAGACTCACAACCCAACACTGGGTGATGCATAGGGCATCTAGTGGAAAAGTGGGAGGAAAGAGAAAAGAATCTGGAAGTGACAGAAGCTCCACAAGAACACCAACAAAGGCAAGTAAACACAGTCCAGAGGGGCTAGCTGAGACTGAATCATCAACCAAGGACCATGCATGAACTGGACCTAGGTCCCCTACAAAGATGTAGCTGATGGGCACCTTAGGCGACGTTATGTGTGTCCTCTAGTAAGGGAAGTGGGGTCTGCATTGGACAGGGTCTCACTTGTCAGCTTTTCGATCACTTTCCCCTGGCAGGACTGCCTTGCCAGGTCACAGGGGAATAGGATAGGCTCAGTCCTGATGTAATTTGATAAGCTGGATGGGAAAGGGAGCTTCCCCTTTCTGAGAATAAGAGGTGGTGGGAGGAAGGGTGGGGCTAAGGTAGGGAAGAGGGGCTACAACAAAGACGTAAAGTGAATAAAAACTCATGTGTATTGAAAAACTCATTGAACTTTTACACAAAGGAAATTCTT